GGCGCCCCATTGGCTGGGTGTGACATCACCGGCGGGAGCTGGGATTGGCGGCGCGCGCCTGTGGTGTTTGGGCCTTTGGGTTTTGGCTTTGGTCAGGCGCACGTTTGGTGTCTGTACCTCAGGAGCTGACAAATAAAAATATGATTACAGAAAATGCCCCGTGGCAAACCTTATTATGGCTTCTGAGATAACAGATAATGCCAATTACTGCGCAGGGCAGTGGTGACATTGAGAGGAAATCCCCTGCGGTAATGAGCAGCGAGGTGATTATTTCATTTTATTTTTATTTTGGTTGGGTTTCATTTTATGTATTTTTTTTTCTTTTTTTTCTCCTGAGCGTGCACAAGAGGGGGTTAAGGCAGGTTCTTTATGAATATTGATAAATGACAATTATGAGGGCCCTTTCTCCTTTCGTTGCCTGGGGCTCTGCCTGCTCGCGTCCGCGCAGGGCTCTTGCTGAGGCGTGCGAGTGTGTGTGCCTGCGTAGGCACGGGGGTGTGTGACTTAGAGGGCTGAGGCAATGAATAAGAGCTTTGTTTGGCTTTGCCTTGTGTTCTTTCCGTCAGTGCAGGGGAAAGGGGTAAGGCTCCTTATAAAAAATGCTTCAAGATTTCACAGCAGTAATGCCCGAATCTCTGGTATATTCCTGCAGGCAGGAGCTGCAGACCACTGTCAGTAAAGAAAGCACGATTTTAGGGAGAAACCTGGGATGTCTTCGAGAAACAGAGATAGCTGAAGAATGCCAGGTGCCATGTTCTGTCGGATAGTGCCACCCTCTTAGTGACTCCTGCTCTGCCTTGCTTCGTTTATAAGGAGCATGCTATGGTGCTCTGCAAGGATGATCTGTCGAACACTTAAGACTGCAGCAGCTGGACAGTTTGAAATCATGACTCAAGGCCTCCAGATGTGAAACTAGTCTAGAAATTGTGGAATTTAATAAGGTTGGTTTCTGGAAGCTGAGATTCACCAATCATTGCCTGAATCCACGAGTTTCAGGTGCGTGATTGAGACTCACTCTGAAACAGTGAGGAATTTTCAGATTTCCCCTGTAAAGACAATTGGAGAAAGCCCATCAAGTACAGCAGCTGCACTGCCAAAGGCAAGTTACCAGCTCAGCTAAAGTCAGAGGACATGTATTTTTGTAAGTTTTTGTATTTTTATATAAGCCACTAGAAACTCAAAAATGGCATAGTCTTATTGTAATCATAACCAGGTAACATTCTCTGGCAAGCACAGCAGTGATGGTCAGACCTGACAGTCTGTTCTGGCTTTGAAATACATGAATATATGTTTTGAGGCAAGGCTGGTAGGGAAGAACAGTATATTTTAATAGATCGATGGAATTAATTGTTAAAAAGCAAGCAAGGTTTTATGCATACAAATGCTTCTCTAAGTCTCCATATATGTTTATAAATGTTGTCCTTTTTCCTAGCTATAACTGTATTTGTTCTGCAGAATTCTCTGA